TTGCTTCAGGGGACAAATGGAGACCTTTTCTAACTATATACAAGGATCCTAAAACAATATTTACTACTATTTGAGCTAGTAATAAATCATGAAAGAGTGACTTCAGTGCAAAGAAGCCAGAAAATTTGGCACATATTAATAAATTGTGACTAAGATGTTAATTGGGTTATACTTTGTGCATGTTTAGTTATGGCAAACGTTTAAGAAATAAGCCTTGTCAGGGTCTAATTATCGCAAAATAATTATAACTGTAAAAGTAATAGTTCAGGAAATGTGAAGTGCCTTCAAGAATCGCCTAGAGGTGTGGTTATCTCATGATCACCACCCCGAAGTGGGCTTGTTGATCTTTTATAATCTTTATTTTACTTTTTCCATGTACTGAAAGATAATAATGATGGTAGATAAAATATTGGTTTCATCTGAGGTGCAGGATAATCACAGGATTGTCTGACCTAAGTAGGGAATTCACCAGTTAATCAAGCTCAGCATCTTGTCATGGGAGAAAATCACAGAACAGCCTCAGGTACATATCTCTAAAATATTTATATACTATGCAACAGAATTTTCACCAATATTCTGTAATGATTGTCATTGTATAGTCTTTGGAGTATAAAATATGACAATCACACTTTAAAAAGTACATATGTTCTTTTATTCCACCCTCATTTTCTGGGCACATAAATTAATGCTTTATATACCCTTCAGTGTATGTCTAAATATGATACATGTGCTTATGCAACTGAACTTGCATGTGTTCCATGGATATGTGCTTATGAAACACTGGCATATTACAATTTAATTTGAAATATTCTTCAAAATATATTGAAAAAATATTTACAGGCAACCCCTGCTTAACGCTGTTTCGCTTAGCGCTGTTTTGCTATAACGCTCATTTTAAATTGATATCTGATTTCACTTAGTGGTCACTGAGTTTCATTATAATGCTCACAGTTGCCATCTTGGGTAATTAAAAACACTTGCAGTCACCATCTTGAATCATCAAATACTTTTGGTTTCACTTAATGCTTGTTTTGCTTAATGCTCTGTTTTTCAGGAACCAATTAAGAGCACTAAGAGGGGGTTGCCTGTATTATAAGAGTAAAAAAAAGTCTTGGATAAAACCAAAGAAATGTACATTATGTGACACACATCCCTATTATACTGTTATAGCACTGGATAACTCAAAAGTCCCATTCATATAAGAGATCTGGGATGCAGGCAGGATGGAGGAGGGAAAAAACCCATGTTAGAGATATTGGTTGTGTTGTTGGAAGCAGTCCTGGAAGGCATTCAGATAGGCTGATAGGATGGTATAAGGACCTATATAGGATAATAAAGACACCCTCTATTATGCTTTCCTTTATGGTGCTTTCTCCTTGTTTTCCATAGATTGAACTAGACTCAGTCTGCCATACTCCAAGTCATACCGCAAACCCACTTGGTTTTTACTAGCTGATAGAGATGGTGGGACCCCGGTTAGAGACAATGGGTGCATCTACACAAGACACTGACTGTGCAATAGCCTGATACTACTGTGCAGTAGCATCACAAAAACGGTGTTTGCTGGCACTATTGTACAGTAACTCAGGTTACTGTGCATTTATTTAGTACTTTTTTATACAAATACTACATAAATGTGCAGTAACCACTCTGCAGTAGTGTCTCATGTAGATGCAGCCTGTAACAATCTAAAATATGGTTTTGGCTGCCTAGTTATTATGTATGTTAATTTTTAATTGGAGTGGAGGTTACTAGAGTAGCGTGTACTTTCTAAAGTTTGTGTAGGGTTGCCTTTAGCAGAGTATTAGCTATTCAAAGTAGAGAGCTTAAAAAATATAAGAAAAAAACAAATATCATTAGGATTAACACCTATCACAATGTTTCTAGGAATGGAGATGATTGTCAACTACATGCTGGGCAAACATTAGCCCACAAAATGACACGGTGTTCAGAGAATGGGAGTTAAGCTGCATGCAACAACATGTAAGTATTCTACACAAATTATTTCATTAACTAATTTTCATCTCTGCAGATTGGAAATAAATAAAAAGTTCAGCATTTAAAAAAATAATGATTTAGCACTGATGAAACGTATTTATTTCAACGTTAGTGATGTAAATCCTCTCTTTAAATACAGGCCAAAAGCAAGGCTAATGCTTCAGTCTTGATCTGGGGAGAAACAAGCATAATTCATTTTCCAAGCCCCATGAAGTGGCTTGCCTCTGGTGAGTCTGCTTGGTACAGAGCAGTCAGTTGGTTCTGGAACTGAGATTTCCCCTCCCCCACTCCCAATTTATCCCATATAAGGCCACCAAATGTCCATTAAAGGGAAGTCCCTTTTTACCCAACTTTTTATCTGAGATAAATCAGACAGATGATTCAAATGTAAAACCAAATTGTTCTATAGCTCATCAGCAATGCATGGGACTACCAATAAATACTAATAAACCTCTTTCAAAAATGAGGCAAAGATTACTTGATTCAATCAAGTTCTGACTTGCACAGGCAAACCTTTCCATTCTGTGGACCCCCCATTAAAATTTATATCAGTTTCCTGAAAACTCATCCTACAGTCCTGTTCTTCTTCACTGATAAAAGAACAGTTCCATCAACTGACCTCAAATAATAAGAATAAAATAAGGCAAATATTAAAGAAAATCAAAACTTTCTTCTGAATACAGTGGAATTCTGGGTCTCCTGATTGCAATAGTGTCCAATTTTCACCTAAAACTTTGAGGTATAACAAGTTATAAATACTTCAGGATCTTCAAAATAACTTAAGAATGGATATAGAAATGCACCCCCCTCCACATTATTTTAAGAGTATTAAAGATGCAACAAGCACTAAAAGGACAAGAAATTTTGTCATTAAGATTACTGTCAACTTTAAATGTGTCCCTTTGTTCATATATGTTCTGTCAATCTTGATTTACACAATGATATCTATTTTCTTCTATATGAGTGGTGACTAGAGTTTGGACCCAGAATTTTCAGAGACAGACTTTTCTACCTGACCAAAAGACATAATTTTTAACATAAATAGGTTATATCTGATAAGTAGTTTAACACAACTTTTGACATAACAGCATAATGTTGGCTATAAGGAGTCTTAGGTTTTCTTAAAGACACCAGGGAAAGACTTTAAAATGTAGGTCTGGAAAGCAGTTTTGGGATCTTCAGGTCATGGACATTTACTGTGTCTAGCAGTCATGTCACACCATCTTTTTCATAAACTGGTCATGGTCTATCTTAAAACTATCTAGGTTCTTTGTGCCTTACTATTCTTTTCTGAAAGCTGTTTCTCACTTGTTTTTTACCCTCTTGCATTGTCTTTGAAAATGATTGTCAGTTTATAGCCATTTGTCTTTGTTCTGATATTGTCCTCTAGTATAAATAGATCTTTTCTCTCTTTGGCATATTTAAAGATAGCAACAGTATCCCCTTTGTTTTGTTAGGCTAAACAAGCTATGTTCTTTCAGTCTTTTCTCATAAGAGAGAACCTCCACACCTGTGATTATGATAGCACCTCTGTTTCTGCTCCTGGAAGGCATTCAGATAGGCTGAATCTTCAATCTGATTTCATCTTCTTGAACATGGCTAACCAGAATTGTACATAGATGAATTGTTTTCCAGATGAGGCCTTGCCAAGGCCTTTTACAAAAGCATTGATACTAACCTATCTCCACCAGAAATACCTTCCTTGATACGCGTTAGGATCACAGAGTTTTGATCTTCAGGTCAGCCAATTCTTCCAATATGATATTCAGATCACTCACATGTTAAAAATGCCTCCTAAATTTGGGCCTTCATCATATTTCAATAGTAGATTCCAATTGTGTTGTGTCGTGAAAGAGAAATCACAATATTGTGCGGGCCGCCTCCCGGTCCCACCCATGTCGCCATGTGCGAGCCAGGAGCGATATGTGGACCCGTCTTTGCACACGTGGGCTGTGGCCAGCAGCCCGGGCACACGGGGTCAGAAGAGACCGTGGGGCAGTAAGGAACGCACAGGCTAGAATTAGTCACAGAGGCTTAGTGGTTGATTCAAAGATTATTTACTTACACCCAAGATGGTCGCGGTATAGGCTGGACAGTTTCCAGGTTCAGCTCCGCTTGAATCCTCATTGGAGGACTACAACAAATTCAGTCCTTGGGCCCCGGAGTTGTTAAGGCTCCGCGGGTTCGGCAATTCTTTCCCACGGAGTTGTCGAAGCTCCGCGGGCTCTATTCGGTTCTCAGGCCCCGGAGTTGTTAAAGCTCCGTGGGTTCGAAAATTGAGTATATAGGATAGGGATACGTCTAGGATTGCGCTCGGCGACGGGGAGAGGCCACAGGCTGTTTAGACCTCTGTTGCCTTCTTAAGAAATGCGTTGGGTCCGTAAGGATCCGCAGAGCTTAGAGATCTTCACACAGCGTGAAGTCTCCTCCTGGTGTTCGTGGATACAAATGGCGGGAACTCCTTTGCACCGTGCATCACTATGATGCAAAAGAAATGCACCATGCAAAGAAGGTATAAACGGCGGGAAATACTCTTTTGCACGCAGGTTCTCCTATTGCAACAGAAACCTCTACCGTGCAAAGGAGCTGCAATTTGGCAGGAAAATAATTTAGCGGTGCCAAAGCACACAAAAACAAAAAACCACAACTTTGGGTTGTGACAAATATATGGCACATAAATTTGGCATATATACTCTGGAAGATAAGGGGGACTTAGTGGATGAGACGTGGCTTTTTCATATTAGTCACCTGGATCCTTTTCCTAACTTTGCTTGAAGTAGCCTAGTAGTGATAATAAGACTCATTTCATAAGAAGAGCTGTAGGAGATTGTAGCAGGGCACTAAGGTGCCTGCTACTTGGAGAGCCGGGATAACTCCTCAGGTGCTGGTTGCTGAGGCAACTAGAGAGAACTAATGACCCACACCTGCCTAGCCAGCTGACAAGGGGCAGGGCCTGGCTCCTATATAAATCACAGGCAGGAGGCCAGGAGGCAGTTCCCAGCTGGCAGACAAGGGGGAAGGAGCTCTGCTTGAGCGAGCAGAGGGAAGAGCCCTGAATGCATCAGCCGTTGAGACTGGTAAAGGATGGAGCACCCTAGGGGTGGCTGGATTAATGTTATAGCCGGATGGCTGGAGTTTGTGTTGTAGCCCAGAGGCTTGTTTTTTGTTTGCTGTTTGTAACCGGTGGTCTGGGTGAGGCTAAGAGGGGATGGAGGAGGCCTCATAGGGGACTCATAGCAGTGTGGGGACCCCAGCACCAGTGAGGGTGCAGCATTTGGGGTACACTGACCCCAGCCCCAGAAAGGGGGCAGCGAGAAGCCCCCGTGAGAGAGGGGGCAGCAAGAGACAGAACAACATCAGTCGCATCTGCGAGGTACAGGGGTGGTTGGAGTCATGCGTAGCCCATAAGGCTGGGGTGCACAGAACCCCAATACAGGAAAGGAACTATTGATAACAGAACCGTGGCAAGGAGGATGAAAGGCAGCTTCCCTATAATTAATAAATATATATATAGATTATATAGATCAAAGTCATGGCGGGTGAGAATTGGAGGGTGCTAGTCAGCAGCTTGGCATGGTAAAGGAGGCGGCAGGGGAGATCACGGCAACCCTGACTGCCCTCCCATTACAGAGAGATAAAACCAGAACTCATGGCCTGCTGAATTTCAGGCCAATGAATTTCTTCTAGGCTAACTTGGGGGAGGCGGGTGGCAGAATGTTCTCCCTCCAAATTCTTCTCCCACACTGTCTCCCTTAAGTGTGCAATTTTATTTATCATCTATAGCACTCATCAGATCCAAGGATACACAAAGCTAACAACAACCACAAGACACATGAGGTTTCCAACATAGGTGGGCTCTTGAATGTCTTTTAAAAATTAATTACTTATACTTGTTTGACATCAAAGAAATCTTAGAGGATTAATGAAGGCAGCTCCTGAGGATTAGTTTCTTAAGAACAAAATAGCTTTCATTTCATGCCTGTAACCAAATTTTGATAATAACACTTATGAAGATAAATGAGAATATTGGCCTCTGGGTACAGCCCTATGTTGTTGGTTATGGTAACCTTTGAACTGGTGGAAAATGCTGGAAAAGCTGAAATGATTAATATTAACGACCCTATAATTATCTAATATAGTGGGGAGTAAAATAGTTGGAGTGGAGAGAGAGCCACCTGCTTTGACAAAAGTCAAAGAGGATAAAATGAGACAATCTGCCAAAGAACTGGATCCTGCCATGTTTAGATTTAGGTTAGGTTCTCAAGTAGGCACCAGTTGAACATATATCACCTTGAACTGGTATATCAATGTAAATTAAGTCAAGCATTCTAAAACGTCATCCAAGGCCTTTATGAACTTTTTATCTACCGAGACTTCCCTGTACAAGCTGCACTAATGACTGTGTCTGCCCTATAACTTACAAACACCTGGGAGAATAATGATTGAACAATGTTCATTTAATTTATTAAGGGCAGCAGTCTTTATTCTCTTGAACATTATATCACAGTACTTACCATGAGGTTGTACAGTGCTGTATATTTAAAAGTCCTCTGGGTCATAATTTCAACAATAAAGTGCAGTGACTGCAAAAAAATAGATTGACAGCTGGAAAATTATTAAAATGGGCTTTTTAATTATTTAAATATTCAAGGTCAGAACTATTCCCATTCAGAGAAGAATACTGTAGCTGAAGGCAGTAAAGTTTTGGGGGGAAAAAAAGTGGGGGGGATTAGGACATCCATGTTCAAATGCTTGAAATAAATTCCTCCCCTGCCTCTCCCTCCCCTCAGCTTGCAGGTCTCTTGCTACTGATATTGGAGCTATTGTAAAGCAGAGAAATGGGACACATTTTTGAAGTGTTATTGATTTTATTTCTCAACCTCATCCAGACTCTTAAAAAAAAAAAAAAAAAAAAAAAAAAAAAAAAATGACACAAAGGACTGTTCCTGAAATGAAAAGAATGTATCTACTTCCCTTGAATGTATGAAATGCTATATATAGATTTCAAATGGGGTGAGCGTGCTTTTATTGACAAGTCATATCTCTACAGGAAAAAATACAAAACAAACAGACAAGCTTTCTATTTAAATTATGTGCAGTTATAAACCAAAGGAAGGAATAGGCAACAAATCTAGGAGCATAGTGTGATACCAATATAATATTAAAAAAGCTGGAGTATATTAAAAGTTGACAAACAAAATGGCCTAAAAAGCTTTATCTATCATAAAGATTAAGTGTGTGTGAAACAGGCAGTATTTGATTTGGATTCAGATTCAGCTCCATTTAGGGGACAGTGATTTGATTTGCTGATTAGGATCAGTGTCCCGATTTGATTTGGCCAAATCTGAAGATTTGATTCCGATTCAGAGAATCAGCAATTCAGCCATAGACACAACTTTATATGTTTTGTTTTTTTTTCTAAGTACCTTGAGTTACCAGACATGGCTTGTGAACGCTGAGATGGTGGGGCAGATGGAGCCGCCCATCGGCTCGGCAGTGGACCGCCCCTCTGGCTCAGTCATCAGCTGCGGGGGGACCCTGGGTGTCCTCCCCGCAGAATCAGGAGGCACCAGTACTTTTGCTTCATTTCTGGATCTGCCACCAAGTGCTCAGGGGATCTCCCCCTTCCCTGCATTCCCATGGGACACTTTGTCTGCCCCACCATCTCAGCATTCATGAGCCATGCCTGGTACCTTGAAGTATGTAAAAAACAAAAACAAAAAACAAACCACACAAAACTGTGGCCGAATCATCGAATCTCTCAGAGGCTTCTGATTTGATTCAGAAAGATTAATGGGTCTCCTGATTCAATTTGGATTTGGAGATTTGGCTGCCAAATCTCCTCTGAATCAAATTAGTGACCAAAGCTTCACATAGCCCTAATAAAGATGTGACTGTTTTTTGTTTTTTTCCCCCATGGATTACTGTCACTCCTTGTTCAACTTGTCATGTATTACCTTTCTAATTATTCCCTCCCTTGTTTTGAGATGCAGTTTAAAATCTTGAATCATAAATTTGTGAGGCAGATCATTTTGGTCAAAGTTTGGTTCTATATCTCAGGGATTTCTCAAATGAATCGGTAGAGGCATAACACACACATTATACAGGATAGGAATATGAAAAATTAAATGTTTTGGGAAAGCCATTCTGCCCCACCTCACTCTTTCTTTTTTCTTTTTTCTTTTCTTTTTTTTCTTTTTTCTTTTTCATTACTATCTATCAAACTGCCTGGTGCCTGAGAAAAAGAAGGAAACTATTGTTTATATGGTTTACATTTATAACAACTAGAGCTATGTGAACACACACACAACATTGAGGAATTATTTTATAGATTAATAATCCAAATATACAAAAACTGTAAATTGGGATTATAAATACATTTATAGATTGTTTGCTTTTACTTTTGCACTTCTGCAGTTGCCAGGTTTACTCTTTGCAGCAGAATTATGCTGCAGAATCTGAGCTTTCATTTATAAGAATGTTAGCACACACAATTGTTTGGGAAGCTCACTTATGGTGGGTCGGGGTGACAGGGAGCAGAACACTGGGACTAGGCCTGCATGGAGGCAACCCTGTGACCTCTATGGCTTGGCCACTGTTGGCAGGTACCCTAGGCCATGGGCACTTGGGGAGCTTTTTTGGCCTCCAGGTAAAGGGACCCAGAGTACTAGGGTAGGAGGGGGGCACTGAACATTGAAGCCAGGCAAGCAGATGTATGCTCCTGGAAACTTTAGGAGCAGGTAAGATGTGGCCAGTCTCCTCCATGTTGAAGGTAGAAGACACTGGAAATTTCCCGGCTGGTGCATAGGGCATTGCCAGCATCAAAGGGTGCCTTCTGGAAGCCCCTGGAAACTTCAAGGTTATGAAGGTGGCCTGACCAATGGAGCCTTGGTAATTCTGGAACAGGGGTCATACCCAGCTGAAATGAACAGGAAGCCATGCATCAGGACCTGCACCTTCATCTTCACCCATCCTCTGCTCTTTCAGTCCATCCACCCTTCCAGCCTTCCATCCACCTTCCAGCCTTCCTTCCATCCACCCCATCACAGCCAGACTCTCACCCACCCATGGAGGTGAAGACTACACACTGTATGCCATCCTCCTCAACTAACAATCCCTGGTCATACAGTTGGGATTATGGGCAGCTAAGGTATCTCATTGCCATCTGGGGTGAGGTGGAGACCTAGCACCAGATCCAGAAAGAGCACTGCAACAGGGATGTCTTCAAGTACATGACCCAGCAGATTATGCATGAGGTCACAAAGGGATTGGGAGCAATGCCACACAAAGATTAAATGAATGAAGTTACAGTATAGGTACATGCATGACATCAAGAAAAAGTCTGTAGCCAAGAGGCAGACTATGCCCTTCTACAAGATACTCTCTGGCTTCTGTACCAAGGACAAGGTCACGGAGACCCCACACACCTATGGCACCACTGATGGGTGGGAAGAGTCATTGGCAGGGACACCACTGGAGGAGGAGGAGGTGCAGAAAGGCCACAGGACAATGGGACAACTGGGTGTCCAGGAGCAGGTCCCCAGGGGCTGTAAGACAAGAGGGCAGCTGCTGGAGCTGGCTCACGAGGACTCCTCCATTGGTGATGTTCCCTGCATCATCATAAGATGTAGAAGCCAAGTTTCACCTACTGCTGGACCTGAGTGCCCTTGATATCTTCTTGGGTGTGGCCAAGAGTAGAGAGCACAGCACGCAGAAATGAGAAGAGAGCTCCATTACCATGGAAATGGGACCCAGGACTTGGAGTTTAAGCCACTACCTTCCACTTTGCAGAAGCCCTAGCCCCAGTCCTCAACCTCATGGACTGCGGCCAAGCACATAGGCCCCAGGACACCATTCCCCACACTATTGCCATGAGTATTCCAGACCCAATCTTCTGACACTTCACTGCCCGCTTCCCAGATGCACAGAATTCCCACCTGCCCCCCACTACCAGATCAGCAGATGCTGCTGCAGCAACACAACCTTCAGAACCCAGGGCCAGCCCTCCTCCTACTTCTGATGAGGAGTCATGCCCTAAGCAAGGATGCTGTGTAGCCAGGAGGGCATGCTTTGCCCCCTCCATGTGGCCAGGATGAGGACCTAGGCCCTGGGGATAACACAAGGCCCCTAGGGAGAAGAGGGGAAGAAGGAGAGTTTAGCAGGGTGCAGCTGCCACAAGCCACCCCCATGGTCATAGCCCTCTCTCAGGATATTATAGCCAAGAAGCCCAAAGGTATTGTGGGGGGAAGTGCAGGGATGGAGGGGCATGAGGGGAGGCTGAATTTCCCCACAGTGACTACTCACAGCATAGGGCCCCAAGGGGTGTCTGCCTTTTGGCACTGGGCAGACAAGTCCCCCCAGCACTCCTCCCTCCATCCCTTGTGTCCTGGACCCCAGCCAAGGCATCAGGCTCCCTGCCCCCAGGGCTTGAGTGGTTAGCAGCCCATCTGCCATTCTATGGGAATGTAAATCTGCCTTATTCACACCTCCCTTGCCTATCTCTCACGACCATGCTTAGCTTCTGGGAGAAGTAGAGCCCATCTGAGCTGGCCAGAGCAGTGGTGTTGAAACAGCCTCCCCTCCTCCTTGCACTCATGGAAAGCTACTAAACAGTTTATTTTACTCTGAAAACGCAGTGTGAAAACAAGGTACATATGTGGGCACTTGGCACCCTGCCCTGGTTGACAGCACCACAGGCCCAGGTGGCCTAGAGAACACTGAGGTCAGGGACAGGAGATAACATGCATCTATGAGAACCACTAGATTTCTTAGATGGGTGCTAGGTCTGGGATTACCCAATTCTCCAGCTCTTATGTGGAGAAGTCCCTGGTCTTCACACCTGAGTCCAGGAATTAGTGTGCTAGGTCTAAAGCCCTTGTATCCCATGCCTCCTTATGAGTAGACCAGGGGCTGGTGCAAGTTCCTTATTTCCCCTGACCATCTTTGGCCAGTAGGTGATCCCCACCTCACTTTCTCACCTGCCATGACTTGCTGCTCAATAGTATTATTACAGAGAGAGGCAATTCACCTTTATATACTTTGTCGTTAATAAGATTGCTTATTCACTAGTCCCTCAGTGATTCCTCATACTGGCCCCTTTAAGGGAACAGTCAAAGTTGTATTGCCAGTTTGCCTTACTTCTCCCTCACAGAGCATCACCTTCCCCCACACTCCCACTACATCCACCTTAATGTTGATATGAGTTCAGCAATAAAAGTAACTTATAACAGAAAATCTAGGAATCACATCCTTCTCTCAACCTTTGTCTAGGTCTGCCACTGCTAGGATCCTCCGTCTCTGCTCCTCATTCCAGTAAGTAAGAGTGGGTCTTTTATTATCCTGCAGGTCCTGCTGGTGACCAGTCAGTGTGCTTGTCTGCCAGCTGTCAGTCATCAGTCATCACAAGTAAGTCTGTGTCCTGCTGGGCTGCTCCCCAGGATTTGCCTAGGTTTGCTGCACCTGGGGATTTTCCCCCATGCCTTTAAACTACTGACAGAACATCCCAGGTTGTGCTGATTATTCCTCACTGGTTACCATTCCTTGAGCCATGGGGAATGAGAAGAATCAGGAAAGGGTAAACAGAGCTTTCCCTCTGCCCTGATACACTCCCCTTTAAGGTTTTGTGCTCATTGAGTTTGGCCTCTGGGGCATTCTCCCTGACCCCAGCCCCCTTTCCCTTTCCCATCCTAACCACCCAGATTATTTTTCCCATTTCAGATACCTCCACTGCCCTCTCCAGAGTTTGCTGGTTTGGATCAATGGGAAGAGGAGCCAAGCTGAGACAAGAGCAATGTTTAACAGGTTTTCTTTATTAAAAACAAGAAAAGTTTAGCAGCTTCAACATTTCAAAGTGAGCCACGTCTCTTCCTCACAAAGCATTCCCCTACATCCCAGTGTGAGGACATGGAGGGGTGGGGGAGAAGTGGAGAAGGAGAATGGTGTCCAGACAGCCTGGGTTGTGGGCAGCACTGTCCAGAATGCAGGGCCAGAGGAGCCCAGGGCAGATCTATGGCCTGGTTCCAGGGCATGGGCAATTGAAGGACCTTAAGGATGAGGAGGTAGTTGACCAGGGCATTATAGATCCAGACTGCCTTACACTGTGTGGAGCTGGCACCCCTAACATCAGTGCGGGGCTGGCCCACTCCCCCACCTCTGTGTCATGTATGCCATGCATGCCTAACCTGCTACGCCAGGTCAGCGTGCCATGCCTCTTCTGCCTAGGCTTCATGGAAGACCTCCCACTCTGCTGTCGGGCAAATGCAAAAAGAAGCAAATCTGCTTCCTAATCCTCACGTGTAGATGTCTGCCCAAAAGTGTTTAGTCCAGAGTAGTTTACATAAGAGTAAACTTAGGCCAGATCAAATGCATGTATAGACACACACACTGTGAACTTTAATAAGGAATTCAAAATAAAGGCTAATTTTGGGGCAATTTCCTTAAAGAAAAAGAATATAGGTGAAATAAAGCTGAGGATGACAGCCCTGACCTGGCAAATAGAAGAGACATATTCTGGTTGTCACAGCTGAAATGGATTTGAGAAAAGTTAATGAAATAAAGGTGATCAATTGTTTCTTGGAATATACAATAATCTCAGAGGCAGTTAAAAAAAGAAGAGATCAGAATGTGTTTATGTAACTCAGAGGGAGAAAAAAGAGAAGAGTAGCTTGAAGGAAGTACAGAACTTAGATCCCAGTGGAGTTTAATTCCTTTGATATTGATTAGATTATCTTTTGTGCAAACATTTTGGAAGATTTATGTTTCTAGAGGTAAAATGTGGAGGTTTAATGAAGCTGGTTGATCAGCCCCAATGGTCAAATACAGTGGTTTTCTATACTCAAACATTGGGATTTAAAAATTGTGTTTAAATAAAGTGGAATAAGGGTAGCCTATGTAATGCCCCAATAATCAATGTAAAGTAGGAAAGGAATTTTATAGCCTACGTTTCAAAGGTGCTCAGCATCTATAATGCTCCATGAAATATGGGAGAACTCCAAGTACTGAGCACCTCTGAAACCCAGGTAGATAGTTTATATATTACCACTAAGAAATAGCAGCAGCGAAGTGCTGGCTGGGGGGGTTTTAGAAAAAAAACAAAAAAAAAAAAAAAAAAAAAAAGGGCCCATGTAGATCAAAAGAAAAGGCCAGGGATAAGAAAAATCACTGTAGGCCATGTATGATTCAGCTCTGATTTGGGTGAAAATTTTCTGGGGGAGAACAGCTGTGTCTGAATTATTAGATTATCTATATATTTGTATGTTACAATAATATCTGGATGCGTATCTAGTATTTGGACTTCAACCTATCTAATTCATCTCCTGTACATCTGGAGTGCTCTAAATGTCAGCCCTTGATATACATTCACTTCTTGGTTCCCTCTAGAGACTTCCATCAAGAATACAATTAATGCCCATTCCATTCTATTACACCAGTGAACTTCAGCAGATGTTAATGTCAGACAGCTTCACTTACTCCCAACTGGCGCCTAATTCAAACCAATGACATAGAGGTGAAAGCCATCTCTTAAATCCTTGTAGTACAAATCTCCTAAAGGAGCCATTCCCTTAGGAAAAATTGCCTTTAAAGGACTCTGATATAACAGGAATTTTTACTTCAATTCACTAATTCTTTAGAGATTTATTGAAAATAAGAGTGACATTACTAATAAACAGATGGAAAACTTGCCTTTGTAACTCCTTTGGCTAAGACTAAATGTGAAAGGAGACAATGAAGTTAAGAAAGTAGACAAAATAAAAAATAAACAGCTTTTAAAAATGACAATATGATGTGGAGGTGGAGGAGGATTAGGTGCTGTAAGAATGAAAGCAATAAACTAAGTAAAAAGATAATTATAGTACAACAAAATATTGAATCTCAACAACAGAAAATGGTTCCATATATTAAACAAATGAGAATACTCAACTGGATGACTGCAAAAGGGTAACTTTACTCCCCCTAAAACTGTAAAAGGGAACTTTAATAGAGACAAAAATAATGAGGTGATTTATTAACAGGATTTCCTTTAATTTTGCACTTCTTATACTTTTTGGACAGTAGAAACAGGATAAAAGTCTGCTTTAAATAATGATGACATTTTTTTGTTTCATGTGCAGTGATGAGACATACAGTAGAAAACAGAGGAGAAAAATTATTTATGAAACATTTGGATGTTCTTTGTGCTAACTTTTTTAAATTTAACCATGTAGAAAAAATGAACATCTCAAAAGCAAACACAAATGGGTCACTAGGAATAGAGCTAGCAAAAAGTAACTATTTTCAGTTTGCAAAAAAGGGTATTTTCATTTTTTCACTTTCACTCTATAGGGAATTTTTACATTAAGGTTGTAAGCTAAAGACCACTGGAACAATGGAAGGTTTCTTTTTTTTTAAATTTTAGTCAGGCCCTAAACCTTATCTGTGGTCCCAGTTATCTTAATTCAGAATTTTCCAAATGAATGGCTTATTCCCCCATCTCTCAGCAGGGGAGTGCAGCTGGGGTCTGCTAGCCCCAGCCGCCACCTCTGCTGCTTGCCTTCAGCCAGGCAGATCCCAGCTGGTATCCCCTGCAGGGAGAGGGGACAGAGGGGGGAATAAATCTCCTCCCTATCACCTTTGCTTCAGGGGGCCATGCCGACCAGCTTCTGGTCATGCCCCTGCACCTGCTGCCTGAGCAGCGAGGGAGAGGGACCCTGATGGGGGCAGCAGTCCCTGTTTTGGTGTCCCAGGGAGCGCAAGACTTTCCGGGGGGGATGCGCTGTGGGCAGGAGCAGGGCAGGCAGAGCTGCTGCAGCCTGCCTGGGGCAAGTGGTGGTAGTGGGGCTCGGAGGTGCAGCTACAGGGGCTGATCTGAATTTTGGAGTGGTCATAGGCCACCTAGCACTGATGCCACCGCTCACCGCATGCAGGCTGTGGCAGCTCTGCCCATCTTGCTCTCACCCGCAGTGCAGCCCACCCACCAGGGAGAGACTTGTGCTCCCCACAACACCATGACAGGGGCTGCTGCCCCTGGCAGGGTCCCTCCCCCCTTGCTTCACCAGTGGCAGAGGCAGGGGCATGGCTGGCATGGCCCAGGAGGCACAGGGGGCAAGGAGGGGGTTTATGTGTAACTTCTGTCCCTAGCCCTAGTGGTAGACACAGGTTCAGATCCCTGCTCAGACTCATTCAAACCATTTCAGATCACACAGTATCAGACACAATATTGACTTGAATTATATCTCAGACGAGTGCCCTAACCTAGAGGTTATAGACATTGTTGCTTTCTCGACCAAAAATCCTTCCCAAAGAAAATTTGTCCAAAAATACATCTTTCTGAAATGCTTCATCTTCAGTAAAATAAACAATTTATTGTCTTGGAGTATCCTTAGCTAAGACCAGAAGAAGCAGCATAAGAACATAAAAAATGTTATAGTGGGTCATATCTGAGTCCATCTAGGTCACATATCTCATCTCTCTCAGTGGCAGAGAACAGATGTTAAGGAAGAGTATTTATGTGGGGCCTGTCTAGACTAACGTGTCTCCTATCCTCTTTTCTTACAGTTTCTAGCATTCAGAGGCCTGAGAAGTCCTAATTTGAAGACTGCATCCCTAACTGTTGTTAAATGCACCTGCAAATTGGTAAACATATTTATATAGTGCTCTGTATCCTAAAGGACCCTGTGTTTTCGTTACCAATTTAACGTGTATGCTGGAATCACTTCCCTCACTACTGCAGGTGCCCATTTAACTACAGACTTTGAAAACAGTTTTTCAAGCATGGAGTTTTCTTGGCTCAAGGCTGATGCAATTAAAATGCCCAACTGCAGCAACACATGTCAACAATAGCTTTCTCTAACTGGTTTTTGGTAGCTTTTAGCACTATACATTTAAAACAGCAACTCAGAGTGGTATCAATTGAACCACTGAGCTCTTTCTATTTTATATGATAATTTTTAAATTGAACAACAGGGATGGGAGTGTGGTTTTGGAAACACTGAAACAACTCATTTGTTTCTTCCTTTGCCCAGCTGTACTCTGAATACACCTTAGAGTAGTTTGTTAACATGATATTTCAAAGCCTTTTATTGCATGTGAGATACAATGAGCTGTCTGGCAATATCACTATACATGATGATACAGTTTTCAGCGCAAATGTAGATGATACAGGGCTACTTATGGGAAGTCCATGGCAAAGGGAATCTTCCCACCTGCACTCATAAGTTCAGATGCATATTTGTGTGTATATATGAAGGCTCACCATGGTAAACCAATGCAATTCTTGTATCAGTGTTTTTGTGTTTTGATTTGTAATTTTGCATGGCATCCTTCTCCACACTTTCACAGCTCTCTACTGATTGGCCTGGCTAATATTCAAGCAATTCTTAATTTAGTAGGTGGTCAGCCACACATGTCAATTAATGTTTGATATTTTTAATGTGAAGAGCACTCATAAAGTTTTCTATATCAGTTAATACCGGACAGTATAGGTTGTCTTTGTTGACTTCACTGGAGATAAAGTTATGTGCTACTTGGGAATAATGCTTAATATTTTCTCATATTTTATTTTGTTTCTGGAAACAGTTTTGCAGAGGATTATAAGGGGAAAAAAAACCAAACAACTATTCACCTAGGAAATCCTGTATATTCATTTTCTCAGTTTTTAGTATATAGGAACAGAGAATGTTGGGGCCTAATGTTCAGCTGGCACAAATCCACATGGTGCTAGTGAACAGTGGAATGAGGCTGAATGATTTGAACCTGGGTTCCAGCCCTGGATGCTGGCTTAGAAGTGAGGGGTGCAAGAACAGCAGCTATCATTCTTTCCAGTCCAATGC